AAACTTGAAACGTCATATACTGAGTGTTCTAGACTACTAATTACTAATAATTCAGTGCTGCCAATAGACTTTTTTGTCACAATAATTCGTTTTTGGCGGGAAGTTTAAATTAAAAAAATATAACGAAAGCGAAACATGATATACCGGGTGTTTGAATCGACGAAATATTTGATAAATGGGTAATTTGGTCACATTTTTTTTGTTTTGCTGTAATTGGAGCTTTTTTTTCTTTTTTTGATTTTTTTTGTTGTTTTGTTTCGTTGGGGCGTCAGTTTACTGTACCATCGTCGACCGAAACCGAAACCTAGAGATGGGTTTTCATATGGCTTGTGCTTGTTTGGCTGTGCTTGTGACGGTTGTTTGGTGGTGGGGGCAGGTGGGCGTCCGCCCGAGGACGAAGGTGGCGGTGGTGGTGGCGGGTGGTTTGAAGACAAGAATAATGACTCGGAAAGCTCCTCCGGCGTATATGTGACGCCCTTGCAGTCGCCTGCGGACAGTGCGAGCTCCACTCCTGACCAAACCCCAACCGACATGTTCCTACTTCCCCTAGGGCCAGGTCAGTGGCCGGACCAGCAGCTTCATGCACACGAGCTTCTCACGCCATTTTTTCTATTATTTATTTATTATTATTATTATTGGTTGTTATGTTGTTTATGAGAAAAATTTTTAATTGGGTAAAAAATTATGTTGTTATTATTGAAAGGCAATGCTGTGCTGCGTTCGTTCATGCTCTCTCTCTCTCACTTCTTCTTGTTGCAATTGATTGGAAAATTGGGTAATTTTAACGTGAAAAAAATGTCCACCGATCACCTCCTTCGCTTACGTCATTCGTAGAAAGTTTGTCGTATTGTTTTTGATTATTATGTAACGCTTTCAGCACTTTTGCGACAGAGAAACTCTTACAGAAATTACGAAAAAATTTTCAAGTCCTACTGAGGTACTAAATTTTTTTAATTTTTTTTTTCATCAAGGTGACCAATGACTGAATTAAGTTGGCAACATTGCGAAACAAATGTTTATCAATGTTGATATTGGTCACTTTGAGCGGAAATTTTATTTATACGTTGTCAATAACTTGTTAATTTAGATACAGGATGTTTCCTACTCCTAAGGTTTGTTACGGATATACAGGGTGATCAAAACAATTTTGTTTTACTTTTTTATTAGTGTTCTTTTTTGATAAAGAATATTTGCTTGCAATTTTATGGAAACACCCTGTATAACTATTTCTTTTGACATTTTACCAACATACGTTGTCGATAACTACATCTGGTAATGTATGAAGTTATACTTGAAAACAACTGTCATTGTTGGATGTAACCTTATTTACATCCATATATGATTCGCGACAACGTATATGTTGATCTGGATTTAAGTTTTCTTAGAACAATTTTTTTATTTGTTATTTCTACGTTTTTTCAAAATTTAAATTAGAAATTTTTTACGTCGTTGACAGTTTTTTAATGTGGATTTTTTTTTGTTTTTAATGCATAATAATAATAATAAAATTATTTAAAAAATTAAACTTAATTTTTGTAGAATTTGTTTTAAATTGCTACAGAAATATCATTTCAATGGAAAGATTGATTATTTTTGGATTGGTGTCTTTGTTTTTTTTACGATGTAAACAGTATTTTTCGAAATTTTATTAAAAAAGTTAACCCTAAAATTGAGATTAAAATATTATTTCGAATAATGACAGTTATTGACTTCCACTGGCATTTTGAAATAATTTTGAAGAAATTTGTTTTTTTTTTTTTTCAAAATTTCGTTCTCGGTGATGGTTTTTGTTTTTTATTGTTGGCAGAATGTAAAACTAGGAAATCTAGTCGGTTTTTGTCATTTTTATTGTGGCCACGTTGACATAAAATTAAGATATTTTGCCTTGAAATGCGACAAATTTTCCAAAATTTACATGGTGTTTACAAAAAGCAAGATTTTTATTTCAACTCTGTATAAATTTGATTTTATATTGTGGTGAGATATTACGACACTCGCTACGCTCGACTTTTTACCAAAAAAATTGTTGCTGTTTGTATTAATTACGTTGACTAAATTTTTTATAATTTTTTTACATAAATTTTATTAATTATTAACTTTGAAAAAACTTCTTTTTTTTTTTGAGTAATTCTGTCAAAATTTCGTCTTGGTGGTGATTTTCGTTTTCAAGGTTGGCAGAATGTGAAAGAATAAATAAAGCTAAAAAATCCAGTCGGTTGCTATCATTTTGCGACAATTTTTAAAATATACAGGGTTCTTAAAAATATTTGTCGTATAAACACAAGAAACAAGACTTTTATGCGACAGTGTTTGATTTTTGACGGAACATTTTAATTTCATAGATTTTTCAATAAGAAACATACAGAGTGTTTCAAATAACAGATTATAATAAACATTTTTTTTTTTTAATTATTTAGACTGGAAATGTGACATTTTTAAATTATATAGGGTGTTTTAAAAATTGCGATTTTTGTTTTCTATGGTTGGCAGTATGTAAAAGCGTAAATAAAAGTAAAAAATCAAGTCGGTTGCTATCATTTTTATTATAGCCACGTTGACATAAAATTAATAGTTTGCCTTGAAATACAAATTTTCAAAAGCTACAGTGTGTTTTAAAAATTTAAAATTTAATACTATTTGGTTAATTTTAATTTTATATATTTTCATTTTCAATAAGACACATACAGTGTTTCAAATAAAAGTCTATAATAAACATTTATTTTGTTTTAATTCCACCACAAATTAAAATATGTAGACCGAAAATGTGACATTTTTAAATTATATAGGGTGTTTCAAAAAATTCAAACGTTCGATTTTGTATGTTTGGATTTTGGCGGAAACTTTAAAAATATACAGTATGTTTGAAGTAACTACAGTAGTGAGTGTTTTTTTTTTCGATTTTGGCTACAAGTTGAAATATACAGAGTGTATTATCTTTTTTTTTGATTTTGACGTTTTATAAAATATTGAAACAAGATTTTTATGCAACTCTGTATATTTGTCTTTCGCCGAGAAATTCAAAATTTAATAAAGTAAACTGTTTTTTAACTTCGTTATACAGAGTGTTTGAATTAATTATAGTCTAGAGTGAACATTTTTCTTTTCCAATTTGATAATTTGAAATGAAATTATAATATTTGAACTCTATAGGGTGTTTTATTGAATTTTTTAATATACATTTTTGACTTAACTTCTTAATATACAGCGTGTTTAAATAAACATTTATATAATGTTTTTTTTTAATTTCACTAAATTAAAATGTTTAGACTTAATTTTAGAGATTTTCATTTTCAATAACACACATACAGAGTGTTTCAAAAAACACTCTATAATAAACATTTATTTTGTGTTAATTCCACCACAGATTAAAATATGTAGACCGAAAATGTGACATTTTTAAATGATATAGGGTGTTTCAAAAATTCTAGTATGTTTGGATTTTGGCGGTAACTTTAAAAATTTGCAGTTTTTTTATCAAATTTGTTTTTGTCTGTTGTTTGAATATACAGCATGTTTGAAATAACCACAGTAGTGAGTGAATTTTTTACGATTTTAGCTACAAATTGAAATATACAGAGTGTATTATCTTTTTTTTTTATTTTGACGTTTTACAAAATATTGAAACAATATTTTTATGCAACTCTGTATATTTGACTTTCGGGCATAAGTTCAAAACTTAATAAATAAAAAAAGATTTTTTGATCTTTGTTATACAGAGTGTTTGAATTAACTGCAGTCTAGAATAAACATTTTTCTTTACCAATTCAATAATTTGAAATGAAATTATAATATTTGAACTCTACAGGATTACAGGGTGTTTAAAACATTTATATATTTTTTCAACACGTGTAGAGTGTTTTATGTTTGAACTTTACAGGGTTTTTTATTGAATTTTTTAATATTCATTTTTGACTTAACTGCTTAATATACAGGGTGTTTAAATAGACATTTATATAATGTTTTTTTTTAATTTTACTAAATTAAAATGTTTAGACATACTTTCAAGACAACTCTATAGGGTGTTTTATTGAATTTTTTGATATTTATTTTTGACTTAACTACTTAATATACAGGGTGTTTAAATAAACATTTATATAATGTTTTTTTTTTTTTAATTCCACTCTAAAATTAAAATCTTTAGAGATATTTTCAAGAGATGTTGTATGTTTGCCCCAATATACAGGATGTTTGAAATAATAATACCCTACAATGAGTTTTATCGATGTTAGCAACAAATTAAAACATACATACAACTACGATTTGATTTATTTTTATTAATTAAATTTGTGTCCTTCGTTGGTAATGAGATTTTTATCGATTTTGGCTACAAGTTGAAATATATAGAGTGTTTATACTATCTTTTTTGAATAATAAGTTACAATTTTAATTAATAAAAAAAAATAATTAATATTAAACTCTGCTATACAGAGTGTTTGTATTTTTGACTTCTTATTTTCAGATTCTTTTCTCGTTTATAACAATGTGAGACGAGTTTTATACACAATTTTACACTTAATTTTTGGCGGGAAGTTTGAATTTTTTGTTTGTTCAATTTTAATTTTTGTTCTCTTCCCGGTTATAAGAATTTGAAACGAGTTTTATAATATGTAATTTGATTTTTGGCGGGACATTTGAATAAAAGTTGAAACAAACAATTTGATCAAAGCAAGCTTTATGGTATTTTTTTAACGTGCCTTTGAAGGACTTTCCACCAAAATCGTCCCGAATTTCGTATAATTTCCTCTGTATATTATTTTCCCGTAAGAGTTTTCTCTCGATGATGTTATAATTGTGTGATTTTTCGTGTGTTGCAAAAAAAATGCAGTATGCAATCTCCTTTTAGCCGATTTGCCGACTTACCTCACGCGTTTCCAATGGGACATCGCCAAATATCCCATAAAACAGTCGTTGCGCAACATCGCCGACATAATAAGCAAACAAGTCGGCCAAATCGACGCCGATCTCAAGACCAAATCGACGGCTTACAACAATCTGAAGGGAAATTTGCAAAATTTGGAGAAGAAACAAACGTAAAAATTTCATTTTAAACGATTTAATTTGACTTTTTCCCTTGATAGTGGCAGTCTTTTGACGCGAAATCTGGCCGATTTGGTGAAAAAGGAGCACTTTATCCTCGATTCGGAGTATTTGACCACACTTTTGGTCATCGTCCCCAAATCCTCCTTCAATGAGTGGAACGCCAACTACGAGAAAATCACCGATATGATAGTGCCTAGATCCAGCCAACTTATCACTCAGGATAACGAATACGGACTTTTTACCGTTTCGTTGTTCAAGAAAGTCGTCGAAGAGTTCAAATTGCATGCACGTGAACGGAAATTCATCGTGAGGGATTTTACCTACAATGAGGAGGAGCTTGCCGCCGGAAAAAACGAGATTACTAAACTCGTCACTGATAAAAAGAAGCAATTTGTTAGTTGATTGATTTCGGGGAAGTACCTATTTTTGTGTGGTTTTTTTTTGTTTGTTTACAGGGCCCTTTGGTGAGATGGTTGAAGGTTAATTTTAGTGAGTGTTTCTGTGCCTGGATTCACGTCAAAGCCTTAAGAGTTTTCGTCGAGTCTGTTTTGAGGTGAGGGGTTTAGAAATTTTCACAAAAAAAAAAATGATATTTTTATGATTTTTTTGCATAATTCGGTCTCGGTGGTGATTTTTGTTTTTTATGGTTGGCAGAAACTAAGAATTCTAGTCATTTTTATTATGGCCACGTTGACACAAAATTAAAATATTTTGTGGTGAAATGTTGAAATTTTTAACATTTTTTTTTGTTTATGAAAATTTGAAACAAACTTTACGTTGTTTTTGGCGAGAACTTTGAAAATATATAAGGTGTTAAATTTTTTTTTTACATAATGTCAAAATTTTCGTTCTCGGTCGTGTTTTTTGTTTTCTATAGTCGACAATTGTAAAATATACAGGGTTCTTAAAAATATTTGTCGTATAAGCACAAGAAACAAGATTTTTATGCGACTGTTTGATTTTTGAGGGAAAATTTTAATTTACTAGATTTTCAATAAGAAACAGTGTTTCAAATAATAATCTATAATAAACATAATGTTAATTATTATGAATTATTTTAATCATTAATTATTAATTATTATTAATTAATGTTAATAAACAAAATGTTTATAAAAATTTGAAACTAGCTTTGGGTTGTTTTTGGCGAGAACATTATTTTTTTTAACTTTCAAAATATACAAGGTGTTGAATAATTATTTTATTATTTTTCTTATATAATTCTGTTAAAATTTTCGTTCTCGGTCGTGATTTTTGTTTTTTATGGTTGGCCGAATGTAAAAGCTTAAATAAAACTAAAAAATATATTTGGTTGCTATCATTTTGCGACTTTTTTAAAACATACAGGGTGCTTAAAAATATTTGTTGTATAAGCATCTGAAACAAGATTTTATTGCAACTCTTATGTTTCATTTTTGAGGGAAAATTTTAATTTTATAAATTTTCAATAAGAAACATACAGAGTGTTTCAAATAATAGTCTATAATAAGCATTTATTTTATTTAATTCTACCACAGATTAAAATAAAAATAAATGTTTATGAAAATTTGTAAATAGCTTTACGTTGTTTATGACATTTTTTCTTTAACTTTCAAAATATACAAGGTGTTAATAATTTTATTATTTTTTTCACATAATTCTGTCAAAATTTCGTTCTCGGTCGTGTTTTTTGTTTTCTATGGTTGGTAGAATGTAAAAGCGTAAATAAGATTAAGAAATCTAGTCATTTTTATTATGGCTACGTTGACACAAAATTTTGTGTTGAAATGTCACAAATTTCGAAAATATACAGGTGTTTAAAATATTTAAGATTTTTATGCGACTCTGTATACTGTATATTGATTTTTTGTGGAAAATTTTAATTTTATATTGCGGTCACAAGTTATGACACTCGCTACGTTTGGTGAAACTTTTAACAAACATTTTTTTTTTGTTTATGAAAATTTGAAACGAGCTTTACTTGTTTTTGGCGAGAACTTTAAGAATATACAAGGTGTGAAATTATTTTATTATTATTTTTAACATAATTCTATCAAAATTTCGTTCTCGGTCGTGTTTTTTTTTTGTCTTCTATGGTAAAACTAAAAAGGTTAGTCGGTTGCGATAATTTGTAAAATATACAGGGTTTTTAAAAATATTTGTCATATAAGCACAAAAAACAAGATTTTTATGCCACTTTGTTGGATTTTTGAGGGAAAAATTTTAATTTTATAGATTTTCAATAAGAAACATACAGAGTGTTTCAAGTCATAGTCTATAATAAACATTTTTTTTTTAATTCTACCACATTAAAATAAAAAATTTTTGTTTATGAAAATTTGAAACGAGTTTTGAGTTGTTTTTGGCGAGAACTCATTAATTTTACTTTGCAATATATTTTCAGAATATACAAGGTGTTTGGATTAACTACGATGTAGAAAAAAAATCAACAAAATTGAAATATTGTTTTGGAAAAGTTCCTATATTTTTATAGTGAATCTGTCAAAATTTAGTTCTCGGTTGTGATTTTTGTTTTTTATGGTTGGCAGAATGTAAAAGTGTAAATAAAATTAGGAAATTTAGTCAGTTGCTATGATTTTTGTAAAAAGTAGCAGCCATTTTGACGTAAAATTAAAATATTTTGACTTAAAATGCTACAAATTTTTATAATATACAGGGTGTTTAAAAAATTCTAGTATAAACATCTGAAGCAAAAATTTTTACGCGTCTCTGTATATTCAGACTAAATATTTCTATTATTTTTTTTTACACAAAATTAAAATATTTTGAAAAATTTCGTGTTTTTTACAGTGATTCTGTCAAAATTTTGTTCTCGGTGGTGTTTTTTCTTTTCTGTGGTTGGCAGAATGTAAAAACGTAAATAAAACTAAAAAATCAAGTCGGTTGCTATCATTTTTATTATAGCCACGTTGACATAAAATTAATAGTTTGCCTTGAAATTCAAATTTTTAAAATCTACAGTGTGTTTAAAAATTTATTAAGACTTTTTATACTTGGTATATTTGGTTTTTGTCGGAAAATTTTAATTTTAGAGATTTTCATTTTCAATAAGACACATACAGAGTGTTTCAAAAAACAGTCTATAATAAACATTTATTTTGTTTTAATTCCACCACAGATTACAACATGTAGACCGGAAATGTGACATTTTAAAATTATATAGGGTGTTTCAAAAATTCTAGTATGTTTGAATTTTGGCGGCAACTTTAAAAATTTGCACTTTTTTTATCAAATTTGTTTTTGTCTGTTGTCTAAATATACAGTATGTTTGAAATAACTACAGTAGTGAGTGATTTTTTTTCGATTTTGGCGACAAGTTGAAATATACAGTGTATTATCTTATTTTTGATTTTGATGTTTTACAAAATATTGAAACAAGATTTTTATGCAACTCTGTATATTTGACTTTCGGGCATAAGTTCAAAACTTAATAAATAAAAAAAAATTTTGTGATCTTTGTTATAGTGATCTTTGTTATAGAGTGTTTGAATTAACTGCAGTCTAGAATAAACATTTTTCTTTACCAATTCAATAATTTGAAATGAAATTATAATATTTGAACTCTACAGGATTACAGGGTGTTTAAAACATTTATATATTTTTTTCAACACGTATAGTGTTTTATGTTTTAGCGGGAAATTCAAAATTTACTATATTTTTTTGTTCAAATATACAGGATGTTTGAAATAACAATACCCTACAATGAGTTTTATCCATTTTAACAAGAAATTGAAGCACACAGGGTGTTTCTACAATTTTATTTTTTTTTTATTAATTAATTTTAATAAATTTGTCTCCTTCGTTGGTGATGAGAAATGTTTTCAGATACGGCCTGCCTGTCAATTTCCAAGCGATTCTCATCCACCCCAACAAGAAGACGATGAAGCGTCTCCGGGATGTTTTGAATCAATTGTACGGCCATTTGGACAGCAGTGCGGCCATTTCAGGGTCCAATGCTGACGTAAATTGGTGGTTTTTGGTTTTATAATGTTGGTAATGTAATTTTTTGCAGAGTGTCGACATTCCAGGCTTAGGTTTCGGCCAGTCAGAGTATTATCCGTATGTATATTACAAAATAAATGTGGACATGATTGAACAAACAAAAGTTTAAATTCCATAAATTAGTTTTTTCGCTCTTTGATTTTATTAGAATAACGTTGTAAATTTTTTGTGTACGAAGGGTACAATTTTTTGTAGGGCTGTTAAATGTGTCACATAAATTTTGTATGCAATTGTGCAATATTTCGGCCACAGCTTGTAGTGTTTGACAATATATCAGATTTGGAAACCAGTATTGAGTTCATTGTAAATATAATGTAAATAAGAAATGTTGATTTTCTTTGGTTTTAAGCTCATTTTTATTATTTTGAAAAATATTCCATTGTACTATAGGTCCAGTTTTAAGTTAATGTCCGTTACTATAAATGTTAGAGGTGTTAAGAGGTTCAACTGTAAATTTGTTAGACGATTAAACTATTTCATTACGTTATTGGTGCGTTTTTTGGGGGGCGGGAAATTCAAATTGCGATTTTCAACAATTTTATTTAAAAAATAACACAACAGTTTTCCTTTAATTATTACAGAGTATACAATAGTAAATAAAAATAGACATAGCGGTAGACTTTTATCCCAAAATAGAGTTTTTTACTTAAATTGGCCTTAGTTTTGCTTACTCTTAATTTTCATTTCTTCTAAGTCTTTTTGCAAGTAGTGGAGGACGTAGTGGAGGACAACATCGTAGCAATACTTATATTCAGTCTGTGAAATTGAAAAAAAAATTAAAAAAAATTTTTTTTTTCCCCGTGATACATACAATATTTTCAACCAATTGCGGCCTGTGTCTCCTCACCGTCCTCACGGCTTGAAACACGTCGACTTCCCCGTGTTGGATCACCTGTTCGATGCACGCATTGGCCGCACAGTAAATCCCACACCGACTCCTCCCATCTCTAAAAAAATTTGTTGGAAAAATTGGCAACGAAAAATTAGTCCGGTCAAAATAGACATTTCAAATAACTAAAATTCCGACAGAGCTAAATTTTGGTGGAGATCTTGGGTGCACCATTAGGAATAAAGTGTCAAAAGTCCCCATCGATCCCATGTGTGCTAAAAAAGTTATTCGGGGTCAAAGGTCAAAATTGACGTTTTTTAGATTTTTTTCGAAAACGGTAAGTTTTATCAAAAAAGTAGCCCAGACAAAAATTATAGATCTTAAAATTATCTACAAAAATGGTCCTTATACTTTTTTTCTAAGAATCACCATTCCTGAGATATCGCGATTCGAAAAGTTGAAGGAGTCACGTTTTACATGATATGCACATACAGAGTGCGCCAGAACTCGCGACCCAGGGAAAAATGTAGGGTAAGGTACCAGGAACATGAAAAAAATTTTAAAAAATTCTATCTATAAAAATTTCAAAGTTATGAGAGTTTAAATTTTGCACTTTGACTCTATTTATTTCTGTTGGAAAAATAATTTTCCAAGTTTTTTTGCTACTGAAGCGAAAATAAGGAAGCTGTATCCTAAACTGTAACTCTGTTTAATGTTATTTGTGGCTTTTGTTGGCAAAAGTTTTGTACCTTTACTAAATAATTGTAAAAAAACATATACAAAATTATCAATATCATTAAATAGACATAAAAATGTCAAATGTCAAAAAATAAATGTCAAAATTTTTTCACAGAATTTTTTAAACATTTTTTCCATGTTTCTAGTATCTTATCTTGCTTGAAAATTTTCTTATACTTCATTAAACTTATTAATATCTCGATTCCATTAGAATTAAAAAGAATTTATTACAGGGTGTTCAAAAAATCACGCATTTTCTTGAAAGGGAGTAATTGGGTAGTACTGAGTACTGAAAAAATTCTAAAAAAAATTCTATCTGTCAAAAAATTTTGACATTTATTTTTTGACATTTGACATTTTTTTATGTCTATTTAATAATACTGATGACCTTGTATATGTTTTTTAAATTTTTTCTATGTTCCTGGTACCTTACCCTACAATGGCATTTATCTTTGGGGTGCGAGTTCTGGCGCAGCCTGTATGTGCATATCATCAACTTTTCGAATCGCGATATCTCAGGAATGGTGATTCTTAGAAAAAAAGTATAAAGACCATTTTTGTAGATAATTTCAAGATCTATAATTTTTGTCTGGGCTACTTTTTTGATAAAACTTACCGTTTTCGAAAAAAATCTAAAAACGTCAAATTTTGACCTTTGACCCCGAATAATTTTTTTAGCACACATGGGATCGATGGGGACTTTTGACACTTTATTTCTAATGGTGTACCCAAGGTCTCCACCAAAATTTAGCTCTTTGTTACTTGACCACTATTTTTATGACTAATTTGAGCGGACTAAAAAATGAATTTTTTTTACGGTGAAACGACGCAAACGGGGCCGTAGTCGGTCCGCTGGCGCCACCTCTCCACCATGTTCATAAGCTCGACGAGGGAGTTGGTCGAAGTGGGCACTTTGTGGCCCATGGGCCAGCAGGTCAATTGGAAGAGTTGGACTGTCTTCGGGGGGGCCTTGACGCCGGCCATCAACTCGGTCAAAGAGACGATTTTCTTGTTGATTCGGAACACCCAAGTCCTGATGTTGGTGTAATGGTTGTGGGAGATGTGGTCGATGGTGAAGACAGGGCCGTACTTCTTGGGGGTGCGGCCCTCGGGCCAGAACGACGGGAATTGTTGCTGCGCCAAAATCTACAGTTTAAGCGTTGATGTAGACAACTAAATTTTTCATTTATTTTCAAATTAAAATATTTTGAACAATTTTTTTTTTCGTTCTCGGTGGTGATTTTTTTTCAGTAATGACTATTTATTATTATTTTTTTGTTTTCTACTGTTGGCAGAATGTAGAAATGTCGATT